AAAAAAATCACAAATATGTCAAAAAACGCCAATTTTGACACCTTTAACCTCACTTTTCTCAAAAACCTGACGTGATAGAGCAATTCTGCTGCTGGATTCGGATTCGGCGCGAAAAATTACGTAAGAAAACATAGTTAAATCCCAATCAACTTTCAACACCTCCAATTTTGCAGGCCTGTGTTATCGATATTAATTTATATTTATTAAGTAGTAGATAACAACTTTAAATTTTATATCCAACTCTTATTTAATCTGATAATTGGTAATTATTTTTATTGTTATATGACATATACTCTGAAGATAGTAAATGTGGCCAAAACGTCAATTTTTAAATATCAGGAGACGCGGTAGTGGCTCCGGCCATGTTCAAAAATAAAAGACACTACAAGTCTCTTATCCCGCACCATCAAAGTCCATTTTTGGAGGTTGCATAACTATTAAAATACAAGAAATTTTCAATCGGACGTAACATATTTTGAAGGCAGCATCGCCACGAGTAATTTGAGCAAAAAAAATTAAAAATCGGTCAAGCCGTTCTGAACATACGAGTGGTCGAAAAGTGATGATTTTTCATGAAAAATGAAGTAACATCTTCTTCTTCTTCTTCTCCTTCTCTGTCCGGAGTCACATGCACTTCTCTTGTCTCTCACCCTTCACTCACACCTCCACCAACTTTAACCTCCCCCACCCCCACCACTCCTCTTTTTTCGCCCTATTTCACTTTCTTTCGTCCTCTCTCGCCCCCTTTGGTCATCTCTCACCCTCGCCTGCTGGAAGTGTCCTATGGTCACTCAGGGTCGTAATTTTGACAATGTTAATATGTGGGAGGGTCAGGGTCATCGGGGTTGAAAGTGTCCGATGGTCATTTAGGTTCGTGACTTTTACAATCGTGACTTTTACAATGTTGGAGTATCCTCTTCCTTCGCCGCCACTCACCCCCACTACTCCTCTCTTTTTCTCACTCTATTTCGTCCTTTTTCAACCCCTGTTGTCTCGCCTGCCAAAAGTGTCCGATGGTCACTTAGGGTCGTAATCTTGACAATGTTAATATGTGGGAGGGTCATTGTCATCGGAGGTGAATTATCCATTTAAATTTTAATCGTTTCTCAATGGATAACGGTCGCCTGTTGAAAGTGTACGATGGTCATTTAGGTTCGTTTTAATGCTAAAAAAAAACGTATTTAAAACATATTAAAAACATCAATTAAGCATGTTTTAAACTTTTTAAAACACGTTTAAAACATGTTTCTTATTAATTAATGTGAGATGGGTGATTACTAAATCGCTGTATCCGCAGTCGCATGATACAGTGCGGATAAATTGACGTGTTACGCTGTAATCAAAAGGATAGGCTTTAAAGCATCCTTTCATTGTCTATTCTCGTGAAAACGGAACGATATTTTCTTCGTCTCTTCAATTTTAATTTATT